ATTTTTAGAGTTTCAAAGGAAGCTACACCTAATTTCATCGACGGATTTCAAATTTCATCTAAAAATATATTTTTAGATGAAATTAGATGTAGCTTCCTTTGAAACTCTAAAAATCAGCATACTGCTAACAGCAAAAAAAATCCTAGGGGGCCCAGGAAAATGCTAATTTTTTCGCAAACTCCGAGTGCAAATTTTTTTTGATAAAACTCCATCAGTTGGGTTCAGCATACTGAAAAATCCTGGGTACGCCACTGAGAATATGACTGAGCTAATCCATGGATGAAAATAGTCATCAGATAGAACAAAAGTAGTCATAGATGCAAAGTTCCTTGATGCTGTCTTCCATGATGATACTGGAATTACAATGACAAAAAAATGGCTTCCCAATTTCTCCGTGCTGTTATGTTCGATCGAGCTGAACATTTTTTTTTATAGGCCCTCGACATTTTTTGAAATGGATTTATTTTTATTTTTGTCATTTGAATAAAAAAGGCAAAATATCGAGAAAGAATCCTAAAAAAAATTGTTTTGAAATAAAAAAGCCGCCAATCCGAAATAATGTATAATATATGTGAAAAAAGTTTCAATTCGATCGAACATATTAACCCGAAGAAACTTTGGCACTTCTGTACTTTTTTTTCGTGAAAAAGTTGGTTTGAGAAGAACGCGAAACACTTTATAGTTCCTACAAATTTGATTTCTTCTCAATTATTTTAACATTTAAAGACAATATTTGTACTCATTAGATAGATATTACTTGAGACTATACAATGATCACAAAACTTTGGATCACGAAAAGCAATAGATGAGAACCGAAAATAAGTTCAGCAATTTTGTATTTATTTCTATTGATGATTAATGAAGGAATTGGAGAACCGAAACTCAACGCTAAAAAATTGGTTTATATATCAGATTGCCGAGCGCATTATGCTCTACAAAATGACTATATTTAGTTGTCATTAGCACTTGTTCAAAACGACTTACGTAGATAGCAAATGTCTGTTTAATCATTGGTCAGTCAATTTTTCAAGACGTTAAAAGATTCTTTCATTACTATTGTATTAAAATATACACAAAATTGTTCAGTTCATCTTCGGAAACGATATAAACTTCTTATTCTAATCCACAATTTGTATGTCAAAAATGAATAAAATATTATCAGACACTTCGGATCAACTGTTCTGTTCAAACTATTTCGTTAGTCATTTCAATGATTCTATCATTTCTTTCATACAACATTACATTCCGAATTTCTGAATTTATATTCGAAAAAAGCACAAAATTTCAGTCATAATTGATAGCTTTTCATCTGTTGAGCATACTTTCAAGAGCGTCAAAACTAAACAAACCTATTTGTCTAAAAATTTTCGGCACATTCGTTAGATAATATTATAGAATACGATCTCTTTTTTTTAAATAAATAGTTCGATTTATAAGCTCATATTCTTTTGTTTCTAATAGATTTAGTGATAAAACAAAAAATGATTTTTATCATCGTGATACATTTACAAAATATTCTGGAAAATATGATTATGTTAAACTTGATTATAATCCATCGGTAAATCATATTTGATAATAAATGATTTTAAGTCATTTTTGTTTTTGTTTTATATTATGTATAGACTTCGAAAAATAATGATAAAAATGATGAAAACAAGAAAAAACGTGCAGAAGCTCTTGAAGAACTCAAAAGTCGACCAATACCAGAATCAAAACTTGATAAACGTGTTCAAAATCTTATCGAATTAATTTGTAATGTACGTTTAATGGAAGAAGCATTACTTGAAATGAAATTCGATGCAAAAAAGAATCCTCTTGGTACAAAAACAAAGATCAATTTTTATTTTCTTCAATAATATACTTGTTCTTTTGTTTTTAATTTATAGGTAAACTTAGTTCTGCACAAATAAAAGCTGGTTATGCAGCATTAAAAGAAATCGAAAATTTTATCAATACAAATAATTTCAATGCTGCTTTTATGGAAGCAAATAATACATATTATACACGAAGTATATATCATTTTATTCTCTATAGTATCAGTGAATATATTTATATATTCTTTTGTTTTTCATTTAGTTCCACATGAATTTGGTCGTCATACTCCACCATTAATAAAAACAACTAAACAATTAAAACATGAAATGGAATTACTTGAAGCACTTGATGACATTGAAGTTATATTTAATACTTTAAATACTGATACAAATAATCATGTTAATCCAATCGATCAAAATTATGAACAATTAAAATGTAAATTAAATCCAGTTAATAAAACAGATAATATTTATCAATTAATTGATAAATATCTTCAATCAACACATGCTGCAACACATCAATTATATAAAATGCAAATAGAAGATATATTTGAAATAGAAAGAGATGGGGAAAAAGAAATATTTAATGATGTTGGTAATAAAATGCTTCTTTGGTAAGTCAAAATTTAAATACAAAGAAAAGCTATTACCGTCATCTAGAGCCCTGCAGGGTATAGATAACCTGCCCTGCCCTGCCCTGCCAGGGCAGGGCCAGGTTATGAAAATTTTTACAGGGCAGGTTGCAGGGTACGAGTATCGTAACCTGTCAACCTGTGATGATTTTTATGCGCTAGATATTGCCGACATCTTTTGTAAA